AAACATCACTGTAAGCATTTCTGACTCAACACGTATTCATAGATAGATGGTATCAGAACTGATATAGCTTATTATATTATTTTTTTTTTTTTTTTATTTTGCAAATTCAACAAGGACAATACAGGACAAGGTGGTGAGGTACTCTAGCTGTAGCTAATTTTAGCCTCACCACCAAACATAGAATACAATTACAATACATAACAAAAAACAGAGAACAGCAAGTGGTTGGGATGGGTCGTTAAATAGTACAAAGAAATGTTTCGTAGGCTATATGATAAATCAATAGAGTACAAACCGTTTGGTATCAACAATATAAGTTTGAGTGGTTAGCAAGATATTACAGTTTGTATCATAGTATAAATCAGGTAATCCTCTAAGTAATATATCACATAACAATTGTTCAGACATATTGAAAACATCAAAATCAAAGCCTACCACATTCTGGAGATTGCTGAGTAGGGTAACTCTTTGTTGATTATATAAAGGGCAGTGTAAAAGAAAATGTATGACACTCTCACAACGAGACCCGCAGATACAAGCAGCACTAGGGGCTAAATTTCTTAAGAATAAGCTGTGGTTAAGACTACAGGTCCCGATGCGGAGACGCGTGAGTAATGCGCAGGTGTACCTGGGGCCAATGCTAAAATGTCGGTAAAAAGGGGAACGTACTGACTTTACTAAGTACTTCTTATACAATGAAAGATTCAGAGATCGAACAGCTACATCAAGACCATTCCAGTGATGCGTAGCATATGGAATGAAAGTACTTTTTATACCTAGTTGTAAGACAAAGCGGTAGCCGTAAATTAGATTTATTACGAAGATCATATGAAGTCGAAAAAAGAAACTTCGGGAGAGATCAGGTCCCTGAGATACTGACGGGTATGGCCATGGATTACTTTGTACATCATGATCAGTGAGTGAACATGGCGACGATCAGAGAGTCTCTCCCAGCCTAAATCAACAAGGAGTGAGGAGTAAGAAGACCCTCTGACAGCCCCTGAAACTGTAAGTGCACATTCATATTGGACTCGTTCTAATCGTTGAGAATCATACACAGTGCATCCATGCCATATTATGTCAGCATATTCAAGAAGAGGTCGAATAAAAGATTTAAAAATAACATCAAGTACAGTGCGTGGTAATCTAAATTTCAACTTATTGAGAGTGGACACTCGTTTGGATACATTAGCAATCATATGTGAAATTTGAGTTTCCCAAGACATGGTGGAGGTAAGTATCATTCCTATATGCTTATGAACTTTAACAGATTTAATAACACAATTATCAAGTATAATGGGGGGATGGTCTGGAGAATTGGATTTCCTAGAAAAACACATCTCTTCAGTCTTTAGCGGATTAAGCTCCATAAGCCAGGTCGAAGACCAGCGTGATATCTTCCTAAGATCAGAGTTAAGTCGATCAGCTGAAGAGTTGGGATTATCTACAATGTCCAGAAGGGAGCTATCATCTGCAAATAAGTAGGGGCAGGTAACCAAACCATCCACCATGTCATTTATGTAAATAAGAAACAGAAGGGGCCCAAGTACCGAACCCTGAGGTACACCTGCGCTGACATGTTTCCAGTCGGAACAATGACCCTCAATAACAACTCTTTGTTCTCTATCAGAAAGATAACTGTAGAGCCAATTTAAAATTGGACCATCTACCCCGTTTCTTTGAAGTTTAAAAATTAATCCTTTATGCCAGACCTTATCAAAGGCTTTAGAAAAGTCAAGATAAACCGCTCGGACTTCTCTGTTGGAGTCAAGAGCGTTGAAAATTTTGTCGGTAATACAAATAAGCTGGTTAACTGTCGAATCTCCTCTGATAAAGCCCGACTGAAGAGTATACAAAAGGTTTTGAGACATCAGATGATTATACAAATGTTTATAAACAATTTTCTCTAAGATTTTTGACAAACAAGGTAGCAAGGAAACGGGGCGATAGTTTGACACATCATCATGATCTCCTTTTTTATAAATCGGAACCACATTTGCCCGTTTCCAGGCTTCGGGAAAGACACCATGGCAAAGTGATAAATTAAAAACATATGCGATTTTATCAGATATATAAGGACATATTAATTTTAGGAAACGGTTATCAATATTGTCATAGCCACATGCCTTTGATACATCTAAGGAAGAGACATAAAGTTCAATCTCCTCAGGTGTAGTAAAACATTCTGAGAAGCGGACATCAGTAAGAAAATCTAGTCGAGGGAGGCTAGACTTGGAGTCATCTATAGTGGACTGGTCAGAGAAATATTTGTTAAACATAATTGCCTTTTCCCTAGAGTCGGTTACATAGGTATGACCAGACTTTAAGGGTGGAATAGTAGAACACACTTTACTACAGTAAAAGGATTTAACAATGTGCCACCATTTCTTACTGGAACAAGGAGAAGTTGTCAGTGAGTCGACGAGACGGTTGTTATAGGACGACTTAGCAAGAGAAATCTCACGTACTACTTTATTTCTGACATTACGATATAATGACCATAGTGAAGCATTGTTCAACATTTTAGCTCTCCTGTGAATCTTGTCTCGCCGACGCATTAACAGTCTAATCCTGGAAGACATCCAAGGTTTGTCTCTCGGTCTTACAGTAATGTTCTTATGGGGAACACACTTACTTTTAGCTAGGAGGATAAGATCAACCAGCTTGTAACATGCATCATCAACGCTAGAACAATAGTAAATGTCATTCCACTCAGTGTTGGACGAAAAAGTAGCTAATAATTCATGATCAACTTTGGGGTAGTCCCAGATAGTTCGAACATACGGACGTGGGTACTTTAGTGACAAGTTAAATCTAGTAATAATGGGACAATGGTGGCATCCTGAAAGAGGAGACAAAACAGAGGTGCATTTAACAAGGGATTTCCTATCAGTAAAAAGTAAATCAATTAGAGAGGGGGAGCGTGACAAATCGCATGTCGGCTCGCTAATCACCTGCGTAAGGTTTAACATAGTTGAAGCCTGGTAAAGTTTTAAGCCGACTGGGGTAATAGGATCGAGGGCCCACCAAGCATTATGCTTGGCATTGAAATCACCTGTAATTATAAGAGCGTCATGGTTGGATGACCCAACTGCAAAGACCGAGTCGGTAAATGAGTCAATAAATTCAGTGGCAGTACTCGAGTCCTGGCCGGGTGGACGATAATAAACAGAAAATATAATACGGGAACATCCCGCAAAGAGTTCGAGCCAGATACACTCAGCAGATTTTGGCTCCAGATCTAGTCGTCTCCGGTATGCAATTTGGTCAGATACATAAATCAGGACGCCTCCACCGTGTCGGTTTCTGTCTCTTCTAATCGGAGCCTGAAAACCCTCAAGGGCAAGGGCCGCTGAGTCAACAGAGTCCCCCAACCACGTTTCGGAGATAGCCACAACACCAAGTTTAAATCTAACTACAAGATCGGACAATTCATCCAATTTCGTACCAGCTACCAGGCTGTTGACATTAATATGCATAAAATTAACATCTTTGCGGAACGAAGGCCCCGGATTGGGATGGACGTCTCCCGCTAGTAATAATACAATGAAAGAGATACAAACTAAGACATATGACAAACTCATATCTAGGTTGAGAGCAATCTTAACGCTAAACTTGCAAGTAGTGTATACGCCGACAGAAAACATGCCAATGACTGCCCTATATTGGTCAGTGTCTATTGGCATAATTTAACGCACCTGCTCAGCAATTTACATATAACCGTTGACCCATATCCATAAATAATTGTGGTAGCCATACCCATTGCTGTGTACATAAATTGACATATAAACACATAACAACAATAAGAATACATATAAAATGAGTACGACATTGTAGATGGTGAATGCCAAGAAATAAGGTAGTTCCAGTGCTGCATAATAAGATAACGCCGAGGCACGGGACAAATGGATTCATCGCTCTTACATATTATTTAAATAAGGATTCCAAGACTAGTGGAGTGATTTCAGCCAGTCCCACGTATAACATCTGTCTGTCATGGGAATTAACGAGATTACATACAGATGAATACTTTACGTTTGCTAGACTGGTGGAGAGACATTCCACATCACATAGGGGGAGATTCAGTAATGACTAAGTAATGCTCTCGCACCTGGAGCAAACATATGAAAAGAATTCTCGCAATAACTAGAGCAGAAAAACAACAGAAGACATCAATAAATAAAAATTCGGATGTAGCAAAAATAAGGTAGGTATCATCCACATATGCTCATAAGAGTAGTGGTCGGTGCTACATGTACAAATAAGTATAGAATAAGTTACTCAGAACTTTTAAATGGATCAAGATCAGAGGAGACGCGCAACATTTTCCTCTCACCATTGAGAGACCTAACAAAGATCTTGCCATCGTAGGTCCAAGCTTGGGATAGACGTTTGTCCTTCACGAGTAGCCGAGCCTCTTTGAATAGTTGCAGGTTGCCGGTTGTCAAGTTGTCGTTGATGTATATGTTGTCCTTACTCAAGTTGGCTTTACTGGTGGGCTTGGATTTTGCACGCATCAGACTTGCCTTACATCGATAGGAGCAGAGTTTCACGATGACTGGTCGAGGTTTTCCATCGGAACGTGGTTTACCAAGACGATGACATCTGTCGATGTCCTGGAGAGAGATGGGTGGATCACAGCCCAGCGTGTTGTTTACCACGGTCAGGACAGCGTCATCCGTTGATTTTTCACCAGGTGGCTCAGGAATGCCGGTTATGGTGACACAATTACGGCGTGAATATTGCTCCAAATCATTGACCTTGGCCTGCAGAGCGTCGTGAGCCCTTTGAAGAGAAGTAAACTTCTCGGTGAGGTTGCTTAGCTCCTCACCCTGACGCCCAAGCTCTTTATGACACTCAGCAAGCTCTTCTTTGACAGAGGAGCTTACTGCATCGCGAACCGCAGTGACAATAGAGGGGATGATGGCGGCGAGCACATCGCCTTGCTGAAACACACTCACGATCGCAGACTCAATGGTGGCCTTGATTCGCGTGTCAATGATGTTCGGAATGATCTCTTCCTTTTCCTTATTTGTCAGGCCCATCTTTAGACTAATTAGAAGGCAACCGGAGACACAAAAAGGAAACAAATGCAGCTCTAATAGGAGACTACCCTATCTACGTGTATAGGTGGCAGCCATCTTGGATTCACACAGGAGAATGGCGACACTCAGCAGCAGGTCCGCCCTGTCAGGAAGTGGAGACGTGTGGCCGCTTTCTTCTCACGCTGCCGCAGGGCTCTCACTTCATGCTGGCGCCGCACCTTAAACGGACGTAGCTCGTCTTAAAAGACGAATTTTAACCACCGAGTTCTTCCCTGTCCAAGCACAGTGACTTGCCATCTTGCTCTCACTGTGTCTGCTCCCAGCTTTTATGTTTTGAATGATGAAAAAAAATGCATATAACGTTTGTAAAGAATGCTTTGAATTGTTAAATCAGGACAGTCAGCGTTTCATTGGGGAAGTTAAAATCCTCCTTGCCTACATGTAACTGTTATGTTTTATTATCATATAACCATTGTAATCACCAGAAAATTGATTTGCTCTAGCTTTGTCAAGGTTCATAATGGTTGTGTGGTCGAGTCTATGTCCTGTTATATGTAGTGAGTTAGCATGGTGTTACTATGTATATACTATTTCTGTAATATTGATGGTTCTTTGGAACAAACTAAAGAATAAACAACACAGAAACTCAACATGGTTGGTAAATATCAGGTTTCATTTATTGAGTCAGGTCAGGAGGGCGGAGCCAAGCTGTCAATCATCCAAAATAACCAATCATCTGCTCAGGTCTGTAAGTACATTATTAACTGTCCCCCTGCTGCCTAAACCCCACAACCAATACAAATTTGGCGCCAAACGGCTACCTTAGCTGGCTGAAGGTTAGGCAATCTGTACCATTGTGGGCACAGATTTCAAACATTTCCACTAGAGGATGCCATGTGCAGGTAAAGGAACAAGGTCAACATTTCTGGGAAACGTGACACTTCCGGGAAACGTGACACTTCCGGGAAATGTGACACTTCCGGGAAACAGACACGACACTTCCGGGAAACGTGACACTTCCGGGAAATGTGACACTTCTGGGAAACAGACACGACACTTCCGGGAAATGTGACACTTCCGGGAAATGTGACACTTCCAGGAAATGTGACACTTCCAGGAAATGTGACACTTCCGGGAAATGTGACACTTCCGGAAAACAGTCATGACACTTCCGGGAAACAGTCATGACACTTCCGGGAGACAGTCATGACACTTCTGGGAAATGTGACACTTCCGGGAAGACAGAAGGATTGACACTTTAACTTAGGTAGAATGATTGCCAAGAAAATCCCTCGGTGTCAGATCCACTGTAGCAGGAGAAACTGTTCCTTACTGCACAGGAATTTGTGGCAATGACAACAGAAATCAGTGAAAATAAAACAGCATGATGGTCATCAAGAACTAACTTCCTTTTTAAGTACATGAGAAGGGGGAGCTTTCGCCTGGTCTCTCAGTGAAATATGGCATAATGTACATGTGTTCAAATCTAGTGTGAATTGTCGACACAATAATTTATTCCACTGGCAATGTACATAACAACAGGAGGGAGCATTTACAAAACTAACGGATCGCCCGCTCAGTCACTGAGGGAGAAACTATCTCGCTTTTTATGGCTTCAAATTCAAAACGAACCCCACTTATTAAGGTTACATGAGGTCATTGCTCAACTTTAGGGTAACGTAATCACAAATATGGCGTGAGCACGAGCCAGTTTCAAGGACAAGGTGACCTTGTCAATAGTTCCATACCTACACGTCTCTACGGCAAAAACAATATTCTCTCTCCACAACATGGGAGCCATCCGTACCTAGAAACTTCTCTAGTAATCTGGTAACTCTGCACAGAAAGGGAGTACAAATGTAGATTTACAGGGTTACGTCATTGGCCGCTGTACGTACGAAATCCAGTCATTACAAACAAGATGAGATAATTATAATCTTTATCAACAAGACGTCGTCCCCGTCTGAAGTTAGCCTCCCCTAAAAAAAGTTCCGCGTGCCGTGGCAGGGCAGCTCTGGTTCTCAATGACCAAAAGGGCTAAACGTTCTGGTCAACACTGAGTAAATTGAGACTTACCCCCCCGTTTCTGTTCAATGTTGGACGGTTGGCCCGAACAAGACTGACGGAGACAGTCGAAAATTTGGGTAAGTCCCAATTTACTCAGTGTTGGCAAGAACGTTTAGCCCTTTTGGTCATAATGAAGTTTACCAACACAGATGAACTTTCATGTGCCGCTCTGGTTCTGTTGGATCACAGAGAAGTCATGGCTCACCACGCATATCGCTCTGTCTGCAGTCTGTCTCTTTCCCTAGTTTTCTTACAGTGTCCTACCCCCCCCCCACCAACCAGGACAACCAAAAATACAAGGAAACTCATAGGACGATTCGCACTGAACATTCCCATCAGCCAATCAGACTGTAGCGTTGCAGTGAGTCATCCCCCTTTCCCAAAATAATTTTAGCATACTCCCATGCTATTCTCCACCAGACTAACAATAGCACTACGTACAAAAACAGTAAAAATTGGCAAAATAAGGAGAATAACTTGCCAGGGGAGTTTAGCCACCAAAGAATTCATTTGCCAGCACAGGAGGAAATGAAATCCTAACAGCAGCCCCCTGCCCTGGCTACTGACCCTCTCTTTGCCAATTTCTACGATAGAAAGGCCTGGTGAAGGCTGCCCTTGTGCTGATGATGACATGTGGGATTCTTATGCGGCACATGTGGCCACTCTTGGGGGAGGGGGCGGCAGATAGCAGACAGAACCTTGCAAAAATAGTTTCATCAGGTTGGTAAAGTATAGGATATCGGGTTTTTCTTTTCCACAACCAATCTTGTCTCTTACCTTGCTTACGTTTCGGTGTCTGTCAGACACCTTCCTCAGAGCTTCTGACTGGAGTTCTGCTTCTCGCCGCTATATGTAGCTGATGTAGGTGGCGAGAAGCAGAACTCCAGTCAGAAGCACTAAGCACTATCGAGTTCTAATAGTTCTAATAGTGACCCTGAAGAAGAGTGGTGGATGTCACTCGAAACGTCCGGATATTATCTCCGTAATTTATCCAGTATCAGTAGAGTTTGAATTCCTATGAGTATTGTTTACCTGGATGTCAACCTTCATCAACGCACTAAGGAAGGTGTCTGATAGACACTGAAACGTAAGCAAGGTGAGAGACAATACTGGTTGTGGAAAAGAAAACCACAATATCCTAGCAGACAGAATGACACAAGTGGGAAAAACCAGAGCTGCCGGCCACAGCAGCGGCGTGGAGAATAAAAAAAGCCTGAATGTTTCCACGTCAGCAGCTTTACGTCTTGAAGAGTTTGAGAAAGTTCTTGAGTTTGTCGATCGTCGTCTGGACGTCTCGATGGACCTGCTGGAGCTCCCCCTTCGTCTGCATCTGGGTCTGAAAATAAACAAACAAATATGGGTCTGTAAACAAAAGACAAATATGGGTCTGAACAAACAAACATGGGTCTGTAAACAACAAACAAACAAATATGGGTCTGTAAACAACAAACAAATATAGGTCTGTAAACAACAAGCAAACAAACATGGGTCTGTAAACAACAAATATGGGTCTGAAAAACAACAAACATAGGTCTGTAAACAACTAGAAAGGAAACATTTTGAAAGCAAATGCATAATGTTTACCTTTGCATATGGTCTGCTCTGTTAATTCTGACTCAAACACATTCATACCCCCGAAAATATGGTCAAGACAGGAGTCTAAATCCCTCCTGCTATAAAACTGCAACATGATGTAACCCAACACCAGTTACCATGGCGACAGACTGGTTCAGGTCATTGAACTTATTGGTTTGGAGAAGAAGAGGAAATAGAGCAAAAACAAGTTTTCCTTCAGTGTAGCTTACATCAAAATTGGTTAATGATGAAACCAATGGTTTACAACATGGGTTTATTGGTGATTGGTCAACTGCACAAGCATAACTGTGCCCTGATTGGTCAGCTGCACAAGCCTTACTGCATTGTGATTGGTTAGCTGCACAAGCCGTACTGTGCTGTGATTGGTCAGCTGGACAAGCCTTACTGTGATGTGATTGGTCTGCAGCACAAGCCTTACTGTGCTGTGATTGGTCAGCTGCTGACTTACCATTATGTTATTGGTCAGCTGCTTGGCCTTGGACTCGAGTTGAGAACGTTCCTTCTTCAGATCATCGGAGCGTTTCGTCAATTTCCGTTTTTCCTCCTCCTTAGCTGCAGGGGGACAAAACACAGAGCAAATAAATACAGGGCAGAAGAAAAAACATGTGGCACAAAACACATGGGAGACAAAAAATACATGGCAAAAAAAACACACATGGATGAAAAGCATATGTATGAAAAAAACACATAGCAGAAAAATACATTGCAGAAAAAATACATGGTGGTCAGACAATAATTTGCAAAAAAAGGTAAAGCGGAGGAAAAATATTTGGTAGAAATTTACACACAGCATAAAGTAACACATGAATGTATTCCTTTTTTTATTACAGCTTTACAGAACAAAATGGATCTGATTTTTTTCTATGCGTTAACTGCCAGCCAAAACAACTATTATTGGTGAAGACTGCAGATTACTACAGGATCACAGCATGCTACAAATGACAGGTGTTACAGGGATTCTACATCACTATGGCAACGAAAAGATTTTTACTACATCACTATGGCAATACCATGGCAACAAAAAATATATGATTGTGTTATACTATGACATTTTTACTACATAATATTAATTATGGCAATGCCATGGCAACAGATAGAATGTATTTCCTGTGTTTAATACTATGAAATAAGTACATCACCATGGCAATGCCATGGCAACAGACATTTGTGATAAATACTATACATCACCATGGCAATGCTATGGCAACAGACATTCGTGTTAAATTCTATACATCACCATGGCAATGCCATGGCAACAGAACTGAAGAAAGCTGGAGTACAGATTTGTCTTACCAAACATCACTTCTGCAGGGGACGCATTAAAAAACAACAAAGAAAAAAATTGCTGGTCAGAAAGGAACCGTTTAATTTAAAGCCATAGAACAAAGGTTATGTCGACGGATGGAAAAGCACTTCGATAAAAACCGAGATCAGCTGCATGGATAAAAAACCGTTAGTTATTAAAGTGGTGTGTGGCGGCTGAGAAAGCAACAGAAGGAACATCACAAGAATGGCACTGCACAAATGAGACCACTGCCAGGGGGGTGGGGGGTGGATAGTGCTGTGTACGCTGTGGTTCGCTGGACCGGTTCCAGACTTGTAAAAATGTCCGGTTCAAGTCCATAAAAAACTAAAAGTCAAGAACCGATTCCAGACTTATTAAAAAAAACCATGTCACATACCCCTTTTCTTTCCAAACCACCTAAAACCTTCCATAGATTGCAAAATCTGTGCTGCAAAATGAAGAAAACATTGCCATCGGGCATCCTCAAGTGTCGGCCTCCATGTTGTTCTGTGGCCAAAGTTTTGCCCAGACAACATTGCAAGGTTGCCAACATGCCAACATGCAATTCAGGTCCGGACCTGAACCTAAATGTGGGTTTAGGTACACAGCACTAGGTATGGATAAGGGGGATGAAGGGGTAGGGATACCGTATGGAACAGCAACTTAGGGGGTAGTGCTACTATATGGAAGAGCAAGGCTTACATATTATTTTAAACACCAATACACAACTTTTGTAAAAAATTCTGGTGGAAACTTCCTGTCTTGCCTTTCTGTACACATGGATCAGAATTGGAATCAACAACAAAATTTCTTTTAACTGTGATCTGACATTTACATTACATTTCAGCTACTGAAACATACAATTTACAAAGTCACATCCAAAAGTTTGGGCTAAAATAAGTTAAAAGCACCACTGACTCGCTTCTCACAAAGCCCATGTATACAGAAAAGTGAAGAAACAGGAAGTTCGAGGGTTACAAAAAGTCTTAGAAAGCAGTGAAGGAAACAGACCAGCATGAGACATTATTGGGCTGTAACAAAGTGAGAAAGTTTTACAGCAAAATTCTCCCATCCCAAAAGTGTGGAACTTTCTTCGTGAAAAAAAACATCCCAATCTGTCCTCCAACTTGCCAGACAGCGAGAGGCCACAGCAAACCAGGGCTCGGTTTTTGACATTATTGTTATTAAAGAATCAAACTGATGAAATACGTGTCTTTATATTTTTTTATAATTTATATGGTGTCAGGCAGGACTGACACCAACATCTCAACATCTACCATTTGGATGCAATATCTTGTTTTTGGTAAGGCCATACCAAGTTGATTTGTTGGATCTCAAATTTTTTTTCAGAAAAAATTGGATTATTTTCATTGCTGCCTGCACAAGTGCAGAGGAAAGCATTTGAGTCCTGACATGATGAGGAGTGTGGCCTTCCGCTGTCTGCGGACACAGAAAAGACGAGAAACTACAGAGCAAGGAACCAGGGCTCTAGCCAGCTCTAGCCAGTTTTACAGGAACTTTGTGTTGTGTGACGAAAAAATTTCTAAACCTAATAGTATCTGTCAACCTTGATGGATAAAATTGACAAAAATCTGGGGTGAAAATGTAAAAACATCCAAAGGACCACTCTCAACCCAAGACTTGCCTCTCAAAATGTGGAAAATTGTGTTTTTAAAGCCTTGAAAATCCAAAAGTTGGTCCCTGGACATCCCCCTAGCCTGACTAAATCTGCGCTCCTAGCGGCCGGCCCGGAATTACTGGGGGCGGCTGGTGTAATACCGGGCCGGCCGCTAGGAGCACAGATTTAGTCAGGCTAGACATCCCCCAATCCACCCAGATTGAGAGCACTCCACCCCAAGATCTGATCATGAACCTGGCCTGACACTGTGACAGAAAAAAGATTTGGAGCTGGCTAGAGCCCTGTGAGGAACGCGGATGTCGGGGCGGCGTCTACGCGGGGGCGGACTCACCGTTTTTGTACGCGATGTAGGAGTGGACGATGGCGAGCGTTCCCGGCCACGGCATGGTGTCAGAGCACGGCGTCTGGAACAAAAAAAGCCACGGCAGGTATTATACAAACTTCATCAACAGATATCACACAAAAACCTCAAGCAGGTATTGCACAAAATCAACAGGCAGATATCACACAAATATTCTATTTGCACTGCCCAGTGTTACAAATTATGGTTGTTTCCAAGCTTCTCTTATTATTCCATGGTTACTAGTATCAGGTATTGTTGCAAAATTGTGTTCTGTTCACACAAAATTCATCAACAGATATTACACATAAACCAAATGTGAGTATTATACAAAAAGCGTACATATTAAAGTGTACAAGAGAGAGAGAGAGAGAGAATGGTTTATTCACACACAACCTTTAAAATAAACTGTTCCGAGTTGTCACAAAGAAGCAGCTATGTTGGTTTAGCTGAATGGACCTATACCATTATTACGTCACAGTTTGTTTACCTGTTCTAAGGAACATTCTAGAACGGTCAGTTAAAGAATAAAGATCATTTCAAAGTTTTCAAAGTAAGGTGTGTCTGATTTTTGCTGCGTCTAGTTGTGTTGACGCAGCATTACATGCCGCATGGGTGACTTAGTTGTGACCTTAGACGAAAGTAGTACTGTATTAAAAGCCTTATATTAGGCTAACGCTACACAAACACACACCGCGCTACGCACCCCTGTACAATATAAACGTCGATTGACCGGCATTCATTGCGGTAAACAAACTGTGACGTAATAATGGTATAGGTCCATTGAGTTGAGACATAACATAGATCTCTGAAGCAATCAGTTATGTGCTACATACACCTGTCCAATGAAATTTTCTCAGGCACTTGATAAAAGTTTTACATATTTAAAAAAAACTCTACTTAAACAAAGGGAGTCTGCAATGCCTGAGCACTGAATCATTTTTTATCGTTTTTGCAACTTGTAGGGGAATATTGTTGGCTGTTCTTGTTTGATTTCTTCATCTCTCATTTCATCCATCCCTTAGTCTAATCACTTGACCATTGGGACACAAAAGATGATCTGACAGTTTCTTCGAACCCTTCTCAGTTTTCTGTTCCTCATAACGTTCCACTAACAAAGAAGTGCAGCGAAAGACGTTGCCAAATCCTCCACACTTGACTTTATACACACACACACAGCCATGAGTCCAGCACATCGGCCACATCAGCCACCTCCGGCCCTTCTGAAGTTGTCCCAATAAAGCACACCAGAGTGGTCAGAAAAGCGAAGCCTGCCTGCATGGCAAAGACACTAGCTTCATCAGTGGAACACTTCAAACGTGGGCTGGCCCAACACACGGGTCTCCCCCAGGTCAAGAAGTAAGTACAGCTAAATCTTAGTGCGGCCACCATAATCTTCTTTTTTCTTTTCTATTCAACAAGTACTGTTTAGTTGGTCTGATTCACTGCACCACCACCGAACACAGTAAGACATGCACCGCTCTGGATGCGATGTCCCACATGGGGCATTGTCCAGTACCATATGAGATAAGAAGAAGACACAAGACCGCTACAGGTGCAGCCAGCAGTTGTTCTGATGTGACCAGATAGTAAGGAAGCTTGAGGTACGCAGGAAAGCTCTGATGAGACATAAGAAGGCCCTGAGACTGTAAGAAAACTACACCAGGTCCTGTAAGACGAGCTGTACTGGCTGTAAGGATCGGTCATTCCTTGGAGACAAGAGAAGTAGAAGAGTGGAAGCAGTGATTCTGTCCTGACAGCAGCTGACTTTGAATCAGAACACCTGGCCAGTGGTAGTGCTGTTCACTTGTTCTTGCAACTTGCAGTTGTCAATATTGTTGGAATCCTTGGATGTTCTTGTTTAAAAAATGTCATCTCTCATCTCACCTATCCCTTAGTCTAATCATTTGACCATTGGGGCACCACAGATGATCTGATAACCAGTTTTCTCCACCTCAGTTTTCTGTTCCTCTTAATGCATCAGTTAGTGTCGTGTCTGTCCATTTTCTGATATCATCTTCCCATCTTTTCTGCTGCCTGCCCCTCTTTCTTCCTCCCTGTACTGTTCCTTGGTTTCTTCAGGAATGCTTTGCTGCATAAGACTTACTGCCCCATAGGATTTTTAAGGCCATGGGGGGAGGGAGGGGGTTGTCAGTTGCTGATCCACTGTGTCTAGGGCAGTGTATTGGAAGGTGGAGCCCTTCCCTCTCCTTTCACTACCTTTTACCTCCCCAACCAAAGTCAGGTACCCACTTCACACCTGGATGGTGCGAGAGAAGTCGTGTAAAGTGACTTTCCCAAGGACACAATGTGTAGCCAGGAATCTAACCCTTGTTTGTGCTAACCTATCCCCTGGGCCATTGGATGCCAGTCTGAGCTGCAAACCTGAGTTGGCAGCTGACTGAAAACTGAAGATGGCTCCGCTCCACAGTGAGAGGGGATGGGAAGGGATGTGGAACCATGTTGCATGATGCAAACACAAAGGTCAGAAGCTGACAAAAAGCTCCGAACAAACTTAAAGTGATCAACAACAAACTTCTTAAGATTATAAAGCTAAAATAGGAAATTCATAAGTCATTTTTCTGTTTTAAATAATGCAAATGAAGATATCAATGTGAAAACATTGAAAATTCCTTTCTAAATGTGCATCATTTCAAAGGTACAGTTATATCACCAAACATTAACATAACTTTTTTTTAAACAGTAACGGTGTGAGCACATTTTCATCCCGTACCAAAGTTGGCCTTGGTTAGAAATACAGAATTCTACAACCACAATAGACAGTGGGGTTTGGTAGCATCTCATTTTCCTTGTTCAGTGACCAACTGACTGAACATTTCCATTTTACTTTGTGCCACAAAACACTGGGCCTGATTTTTATCTTTCAATAAAGAAAAGGACTGAACAATATGTAAACTTGGGTATGGGATGAAAGAATGTATGATGAGACAACATTGGTGAAATGCCACACACACACACACACACACACACACAAACCAAACCAACTAAATATGCATGGATATATAACACTTAACGCTTAAAAATCATAAGGACTAAAATGCTTGGTGAAACAGCCAGCCCTTTATTCCTGCCCTATAGCAGAATTGTGCTGCCCTGTACTACACATACCCTGTACCCGTACCGTGCCCTATACTACCTGTATCGCACCCTGCACCAGCCCATACTGTGCCCTGTACTACCCCAAACTGTCGGAACAGTGCCCCTATACTTCCTATACCTTCACTGTACTAGCCTGTACTGCCCCAAACTGTGCCCCTGTACTGTGCCCTGCTCTACCTCACACCGTGCCCCTGGACTAGCCCGTATAGTACCCCCATATTACCCATAGTGTCCGTGTAGTACTCTACACTGTGCCCCATACCATGCCGCTGTACTGCCAATAACGTACCCCTGTACTACCCTGTATCATGCCCTGCACTACCCGTACTGTGCTCCTATACTACCCCATACCACACCCCTGTACCATCCTACATGTATACCATGATCCTGCACCACCCTGTAGCGTGCCCCTATGCCTTCCCGGCCACCCCATACTACTCTGTTCTACTCTGTACCACCCCGTATTGTCCCCCTATGTCTCCCCTGGCCACACAGTAAGTACCTTGCACTGTGGACACACCCTATGCCTTGTACTATCCTATCCAGCCCCTGTACCACCCCGTACCATGCCCCTACACATGTCTCCCTGTATCACCCCCTATGTCTCCCTGGCCACACAGTAAGTACCTTGCACTGTGGACACACCCCATGGCCTGTGCTACCCTGTACACTGCCCCTGTACCACCCTGTACCATGTCTCCCTGTACCGTGCCCCTACATTGTAAGTCTGCCCCGTACCGTGCCCCTAAACCTATGCCCTGGCCACACAGTAAGTACCTTGCACTGTGGACACATCCACATGCCGGAGGGAATGGCCTTTAGCGGTGGATCTAAGCAGCCGAGGTGGTAGACCCGGTTACAAGTGTCACAACAGAGGAGCTCCCCGCTTGTTTTGCACACGGTGCAGAAATCCTCGTGGGCGTCCTGGCAACACAATGCAGACGGCACGTTACCTTGGCAACAGTAGTCATGGCAACAGTCGCTATGGTTACCTGCTGACAGCGGCTACACACTCCTGGAGCCAAGCCTTATTAGGAAGTTATAAGCTTCTTTTTTTTTTATTCTTACCCAGCAGAAAGCAGCACAGCACTTGGTACCACCACCTTGGTACTGGTACCACAACTCAGATAACACCTAATGGTACCTGTACCACTGTTCGGCTGACACCTTGGTACTGGTACCACTGAGCAGCTAGCTATTAAGGCACTCTCGCAGTGGCATTTACTTGAAACTCTGAATGTCTATTTGTTTCTTGCATTTAGTGTTGTGTTATTTATGTTTTATGGTGTGTGGACCTAAAAAGCAGCTAAATTTGGTGCCTGGTGCTTCACTGTGTATTGTTGTTGGAATTTGAATAAAGAAAAAAATAATCCCTGAAACACGTTCCTACATGACCTTCTATCCGACAAAACCCACCGGGTGGGTAAGTCCAAGGTCACAGCCCTGTACGACCTTGAGCGAAGGTCAGCCATCTTGTCTTTGCTGTTTAAGCCTACAAGCACTGCACACACCAGCACATACCAACCAACACATGCAGGCCAGCTGGTCAAACATGGAACGTTTGTCCAGCTTGTGACATAAGCACTGTACTTTTGAACCCTGAAGCCCAACATATTATGTAAACAACTAAACAACTAAAGACATGTGTAAACAACCAAACAACTTAAGCCCAATATAAGTAAGGCAATACAGACTTGATTACATCAATGACATCTGGACACAGATAAATTTATGTCCAAAAAATGTTAAAAAAAAAAAGTCTGCGGTCACAATGTTCTTTTTGTGGCTTTTGAAGGAGTGAAAGGGAAAGAAACAAGATGGCAGAGGAAGGGAAGCAGGGAACGAATTACCACTTGTTTGCACTACCAAGTCTTCCAGAGTTAAAGATGGGAAAGAAGAAAAATAAAGAATTAGATTGGTGTACCATGCTGTGAGTTTAGTCATTTGTTCACCCTTTTTGACCACTTTGACTTCAAAACGAAGGCAACTTTTTAAAAAAACTTGCAGACTCACATCAGTTCTGGGGTGCCCATAGGATGTCATCCATATAACCAAATCAGTAAAGCCGAAACAACTGCAGCCTAGCATGATTAAACAACCGAGTGAGCGAAGCAGTCTCACCTCCTGTCCGTTGGCGTCGGTGTTGATGAGTCGCGACTTGCCCTTCCCAGCATGCCCGTTCTCCCTGCCCTCCTCGTCCAGGGGGGTCCCGGGCCGGCTGTCGCTCGACGTGGGCGAGTGGATGAACCGAGGGGGGCGCCCAACTGGGGGGGGGAGGGGGTAGACAGAAACGGGGTTATATGGGGGAGTGGATTTTTTGTTTTCAGATTCCAACATTTCATGACTAGACATGGTAATAGCACACTCAAGTTATGTTGACTTATTTTATGCCACCACCAACGCAGATGACGAATACAGGACAAGACAATACTCATTTTAACTCAAGTTAACTGAGGAAAGTCATGTAAAGTGCCTTTCCCAAGGGCACAAGATCGGTGGCATGTCAGGACTCGAACCCTGGACCTCTTGCTTCTGAGTGGAGCACTCTGCCGTTGCGCCACACACAGATGAAAGCTAGTGGATGCTACCTGATGTTTCAAAATCCATCCAGTTGCTTGTAGTTGATAAATTTTGACTGGAGTAGGATGATAATCGGATGAGAATAGTACAGTAAAACTAACCTCTCCTCCTGGTGTTGGGGCCAGTCGTGTTGGACAGGTAGTTCAGCGCACTGCGCTTCCTCTGTACCAGGACAGAAGTACACAGGATTAGTACTAGTCATTTCCACATCAACAACAAACTCAGGGCTCTCCCCAAGCAATGAAGCAAAGGTGTTCCCCCTCTCTCTAAAATCCTCTCCAAGCATATTCAAATTTATTGTTTTTTCTTAGCATCGTCATGAAATTTCCCTGATTTTTTTTTGTGGGGCGGCATCAGCCTATTAGCGTGTACCTCTTCCCTAAAATTTCTGGGGAGACTCCTGAAACTTCTTCAGGCTGAATTAGGTATAACATTTTGATACACTTTTCAAAATGTCAAACGTTTATAATCTCAAGTCATACCACGGATAAGGAATACTTGTGTCAGACAATCAAGTGTCAGAAGGGCAGGAATGCATTACCTTTTGCAATCTTCAAATTTACATGCTGGACTAGTCTTATAGAACATGATGGGGCTAGTCCCCAACATCTAGAGGGGCTTTCTTTGGAAGACAATCATATGATTAACATGTTTGTACCTCTGGTTCAAAGATGGCACCGTAGCAGTACTGTGGGTTGGCCGTGCTTCTCCTTTTCCTCTCGTGACGCTTGTTTTGGATTTCTGGAACACGGAACAACAAATAAACGTGGAATCAAAGCATTTAGATTTATACTTGAAGTTGAACATGAAATCACAAATATAAGCTCCTTATGAATGTAGAAATGTATTAATTAATCTAAGTGCCAAGTTTGAAAATGAGTTATTCTCTAACAAAATTTAACAGTTTATTACTAACAAAGTGCAAGAAACTGGATGTCACAAAAAGAAAGATACAAAATAATCAGTTCCTCCATTCTCACCCCTGCTGCAGGCCAAAGCTACTGCATTTCTAACATGATATAGCAGTTCACTTACAACTTACAGGTTAAGTATGGTTAAAACAGGAAAACCCGAGATACCTTCTAGAGTACTCTGAGTGATGAGTTACAGGTTAAGTATGGCTAAACAGGAAAACCCGAGATACCTTCTAGAGTACTCTGAGTGATGAGCCCTAAGGAAGCCATAAACTGCATCTTCTGTGGGGACAGAAGAGGAGAAAAGTTAGTCAACGTGTCCTGTGGATAATCTATCGGGCTGGCAAGAGACTGTATGTAAGAAGGATCTTAAGGTTACAACCAGTGGTAATTTCAGTGACTGTCTGATTCATACTGCATTTGAGACCGTACTTGTAATATTGCAGCAGTGACACATAGCTGCAGCACGAATCAGAACCAGTCACCATAAAACAGCAATGTCCCCAAACTAAACTCAACCCAGGAACACTCTTCCATCCAAGTCCTCCCTTCATAGCATATTGTCAGCAGAACCTGCACAAAACCCTGATTTTTCTAGGTTTTTGGTTGGATGTTTGGTCATCGTTGCATTAGGATCTTGCCTGTTGCAGAGGATATCTATTCCAACATAACATTTGGAAACTACAGACCGAGTGTTTATTTGATGGATCTCCATTATTGAGTATAAGCATACGCATATACTCATTATTCTTCCTAGAATCGTAAAAACACATTACAAACTTAAATATGCCAATACGGCCTTATATCATGAGACGTTCTGTCAAAGTGCTTACAACACATTACAGGTTTCGTGCAGGTGCAGTACGTTCTGCCGACATGCTTCCCATCCTCACCTTGTGATCTCCGTGTTCCTTGACTGGCACAGGTGCTTCGGAGGCAGTTGCCGCGACAACCATGGAGTTGGGAGACACCAGCTGGACGGGGGAGATGCCCTGCGGCCAGGAGTTTGTCTGCGGAGAGGGAAGATCGGTCATTCTTTCTCTCATTTGGTCATTCCAAATAGTCGACCATCCATCCAGTCATTCTTTTTTTCTTGTTCAGTTATTCCATCCAGTCATTTTTTCATTTATTCATCCATTTGTCCCCACCCATTACTAGATCCAGAGCCCTCACAGTGGCATGTACATGAAACATACTGTAAGTCCCACCTTTGTTGAGGTTGATGATAGGGAGACGGTTGTGCTCTGTGGGGCCACCTGTGCTGTTGCCATGGTGATGACAGGCGGCTGTGTCCTGGGCTGGGTCACCTGCTGCGATGCTGGGATCAGACAAAGTTCAGTTTGGCAGTTAAGATCGAGTCTGCTAATATCTCATGACTAACTTGTGTACTGAGGCTGACCTATGACCCCTGACCTCTATACTGGGGTTGACCTATGACCCCTGACCAACGCATGCACTAAGCCTGACCTATGACTCCTGACCGACCTCAATACTGAGTCTGACCTATGACCCTGACTGATCTCTATACTGAGTCTGACCCATGACCCTGACTGACCTATGTACTGTGGCTGACCTCTGACCCAGACTGACCTATGTACTGTGGCTGTCCGTTGATGATGCGTACGTGATGAGTCATGACTGTTGGGGCTGCAGAGATGCCTGCGGCTTTCCTGATGAGGGTGGGCGACGCCTGCTGCGGGGTGGGGGGCTTCGGCCTCAACTGTGCAAACAAACAAACAAACAATAAACAATCATGCTGATACACTGCAGCCATTTCTTTTCTGTTTTTCAGAAGCAAAGATCCTGTAAGCTGGAAATAAATTGCACTTTAATAAGTCTGCATTAGATTTTCTGTACAAAATACAGCCATTTTCTAATCTAAAGACACATACCGGTTGCAGCAGGACAGGCTGCCTGTTCTGTCCTATCCTCTGCACGGAGCTGAACTGTGGCACGCGGATTGTCGCTATCCCCGGGCTGCCGAGCGCCACGGGCGGCCTGGTTACCGCGGGAACGGTCGCGGTGATGGTGACAGCGTGGCCGGTGGTGGGGATGATCCGTATGATCTGGTGGGGAGGGTCCTTTGGGCTGGGGGTCGTCCGCACCTGCTTCAGGTCGATGGGGTGGGCCTGGACGGAGGTCGGCACCATCCTGCTGAGAACACCGGACAAAAACAGGACAAGTTTAAAGTTAAAACTGTTGATCCAAAACAAAGAGGTTCTCTCACCCAGAACTTTCGACCAGTCACTCTAGTCTTCCTCAGTAGACTGACCCAGTGTTGACGTCACACTTCAAAGAAGCCACGTGACAAGCTTCACTGGGTCAGTCTACTGAGGAAGACCAGAGTGACTGGTCGAAAGCTCTAGGTGAGAGAACTTTTTTGTGTTGGATCAAAAGTTATAACTTTAAACATGTAACTACCAACACAGATGAACTTTCATGATAAAAACAGGACAAATTTCATCTTAAATCTTACCCAATATCACAGGAGCTTAAAAGTCTATAACTATAACTAACTTAATTAACTGTAACTGTCAGATTCCGTTGAAATACAACTCCTCCCCATTACCATAGTTTCCCGTTGCCATGGTACCCGTCACCGTGGTTACGTACCTCTGCACCTCGTGGCCGACCACGGGTGCCACGTCCCCGTTGGCCTTGGAGGCCGCCGTGGGGGTTTTGCTGTTGGGCTGGATGACAGACACGGTGACGGACCCCGTGACCATATTAGGAGCCGTGCCGGGTTCCTGCTTCATCACCAGGGTCTTGGGTGTCGTCGTGGGTGTGGGGGATGTGGGGCTGGGTTTCTAAAGTGGGGGGATAAAAAAGTAATCATTGTGGGTTAGCCCGACCTGGCAATGGGTTTCTGTTGTGGGGAAATATAATCATGGGTTAGCCAGTGTCTGTTACAAGACCCCTACACTAACTTCACCTTTAGATCTCCATACACACACTTCCACTAACCTATTCATGTTTTTATTATTCATTATTTGTTTGGAGGAGTCAGCCTTGTTAAAGGACTCTATCCTGTTGCTGACTCCTCTCAGTTTCTTCTCTGAAATCTTAATAAATGAAACCTCATCTTTAGCCCCACATATACACCCTCAAACTTATCTTAAACCCCCATACACACCCTCACCCCTCACCTGTACATCCCCTGAAGGCTCCTGCTTCACCAGTTCTTTCAAAACCCCATACACAGTCACACACCCCCATACATACCCCCATCCCATATCTCACCTGTACATCCCCTGAAGGCTCCTGCTTCACCAGTTCTTTCACACACTCCATACACACCCACACACACCCATACACACCCCTACACCCCCATACACACCCTATCCTTACCTGTACATCCCCTGAAGGCTCCTGCTTCACCAGTTCTTTCACAAACCCCATACACACCCACGCACCCCCATACACACCCCATCCTTACCTGTACATCCCCTGAAGGTTCTTGTTTCACCAGTTCTTTCCTGAGCTGCTGAACAACTTTTTTCTGCAGAAGAAAGAAATTAGAAAACGTTTACCATGAGACAATAATAATAATTTTTCTGACGCGTAGCTTAAGAATATTTCCTCTAATGGCACAAATTTCCTACATGGTATTTTCACAACTGAGCTGCACCATTTTAGTAAACCCACAAGTTTGCATTGTCACCATTTTACATAGGATAAAGTTCAGTTTTTCTATGACCACACCACTATATAGTATATGAATCATCCAGGAATTTCTATTTTTCTTACCACAATTATAACAAGTTTTCCCCCCCACATAACACCAAACTAATTACTAATGAGCTCAGTCATCATATTCTATTCATGATATTAAAATCAATACAGTATTAATAGAATCGCAAATTTATGAAGATCCATTATATATTAAAATCAACTTCCTGCCAAATGAACACCAACGACGTGTCATTTTCCTTCTCAATTATGACCTGATGCAATGTACAAAATATGCGTTTCATGAGTCATAACAAAACACCAATGCAACTTTGATGTCCTCTGGCATTATGCCTGACATATGCATTAATCGCCCCCCCCCCCGCATGTAGCCTGCTTCAATTTACATTCCTGAATTACAAACATTTAAACTATGACAGTTTTCTCCTCCTGAGCTGTATGAAACCAAATGTTCACACCACCACTAATCACCAGAGCACCTGTGGGTAACACGGGATCCTTTGTGTATGGATTATTCTTTCACCACTAAAGCTATGAATAAAATGGATAAAAGATACCACATATATGGATATTCTCCTCCAACCAAGCTTTCCAGCAAAAAAATTCTAACAAAGATGTCACTTGTTTTTTGTCAGAATGCTAACATTACATGTATTTACACTGTTTTTACTTCTTATCCCTGTCCAAACTACACGCAAGCAACCTTCATACGTTACAGCATGAATTTCCAATATCAAGGATCTAAATCATTTACATGTTTTCTGCAACATGGAATTTCTAATGCCGAATCTGGCTTGGTTGTGCTTGTTATGCTTGTTGCTATGTTCCCAGCATACAAGTACTGTACATGTATCTGTAAGATGCAGAAAGCCAAACAGTATGAACCCTTCTTTTGTCATCCCAAATGAGGTGAACCAAAATATGATGCTTTTCAAGTAGCTTCAAGATGTACATGTACTAGTGGCTAGTGTGATGTGGCTTTGCTACAGCTTTCATATTTAGCAAAGCACATTCGGTCACCCTTACTGTTACTCTCTCTGGGTGCTGGGTTCTTCTACATAAACAGGTTTGATGCCATCACTCACTCACTGCAGTGTACAAAATACTATTTTGAACCAAATATTAGGTTGCCCATCAGAATTTTAGGTTGCCCCACCTACTTTTCTCAAATTAAGTTATGTTACATACATAAGTCTTTGACAATATTTCTAACAGCCTTTAGTGAACTGATACTAGTAATAGCCATTAATACCTAAAATCAAAAAGCATCTGCCAGCTACAGTGGTGCAAGCCAAGTAGGCATGATTTCGTGGGGGGGGGGGGGCAGTTCCTAAAATCTAGGTAGCACACTGGGCTACCTAGGTTCAAAAATAGGTTGCCCAAAGTAAAATTTGGTTGCCCGGGGCAACTGGGCAGCCAGGTATTTTGCACGCTGGGTTCTTTTACATAAAGAGGTTTGATGCCATCACTCACTCACTGTCAGGTTTAAGTTTCCTACATACTATGCCAAAGTTGACGAACCCAGTAGCAGGAGCACGTCGGCAGAACGTACTGCACCTGCGCGAAATCCATAATATATTGTGCATAGCACTTCGGCAGAATGTCTCATATAAGGTTGTATTCGTGCATATAAGATCAACACTCTGTCTGTAGTTTCCAAATGTTATGTTGGAAAAGATATCCTCTGCAACAGGCAAAATTCTGATGCAACATTGACCAAAAATCCAACGTAAACCGTGAAAAATCGGGGTTCTGCGCAGGCGCAGTACGTTCTGCTGATGTGCTGGTACTGGTAGCAGGGAACAGAGAGAGTACATGACACATGTGGACATGAGCCACTCCCAGGGGACTCTGCTTAATAACTGCACAGCTGCTGCACAAGTCCTGACTACAATGTAATAATAAAGGGCCTCTCAAAACTAACCCAAACGGTTTTACATGGCAGAAATATGGAGCATTCTGACGAGTTTATTAAAATTTACCAAAAAACACCCGAATCTAAAACTTGCCTGTACAGACTAGGGTGATACTAACAGTTGTGTTAGATCTAGAGGCAGCAGCAAGTCTATTGTTTTTACAGGATTTACTTCATCCAAGTTGATTTTCAAGAAATATAAAAACAGTAAGCTGTCCCATGGTGCTTCTGGTATTGTTACAGTAACTGGGAGATACTGTTTGGAATCTTTAAAAAAAAGCACAACAAGGTATATGGCCCAAACTGTGTCATACCAAACAAAACAGTTCCATTTTTCCTCTGGGATCATTTCCATCTACATGTATCTAATCTATCATTTATCACTATTCACATCTGTTTATGCGACACAGTTCCTATAAACCACAAAACAACAAGAAAACTGTGTCTGAATATAAACATCTGAAGTTCAACCTGACTCTTTTATTTTTAAAAATGGTTTGCAAGTAACTGTCCTGTATTCTGCCAATACCTATAGGGAAGCATTTGCCCTATATGTTATGCCCTATGAACCTACTGATATACAGTATGTAAATCAGAGTGCCACCAAAGAGGGCCCTGTACACTCTACTGTTCAGCCACAAATTATGCCCCAAATAGGGAATATAGCCCTGTCAGCAGTATAGGCTATATTGTACTGTACACTGAACTGTCTGCTGTAAACTAAAGGCTTTTTAAACAACTCTATTTCCTTGCATCCATCTATTTTTCAACTGAATGCAGTCTAAAAACTACAATTGGAACAAATCAGGCAGAAAGGAAAATTTCAACTGATGTAAACCTGAAAAAAGCACTACATGCACTTGTTCTAACATTTTCTTGGTGAAAAATCTTGGTCTAAATCTAATGTACAGTTTAAGTCACCCAATAACCCTACTTATGCAGTGTAGAAGTGTCTAAAGATCAGAAACCACACCTGCGAATGTTTGCATCCACACAGCAGACTTCCTCACAAATGGACTAACCCAACTGGGAATTTCCTCCCCTCATCATTTCAACCAGACAGGTCCAAACAAAAGACTTTTATTTTCTCACAGAGATCTTTTAACGCCCAGTTATTGATAACAGACTCACAACTTCCAGGGCTCGAATTTCGTTTTAGGGAATAGGTGCACTGGCCAACCTAAAAAAGTAGGCCCGATTTAGACTAGAAACGGTATACCGTTTCGAAACGGTACGAAACGTTTCGGCACAGAAAACGGTTCGTCTTTAGACACAGATGCGGAAGCGTTTCGGGCCGCCCGTGGCGCAGGATGTTTCTGACCCACAGTGACCTATGATGACCTCCCCAAACCGCTTCTACGGTTTGCCTCATTGGCCTTATGATACTTGTGTTTCAGGGCCTTGAACTTCGCCCGAACCTGCTTTGGGGTGCGTAAATACCCCTCAGCCGCCAGCCCGTCCACAAGCATCTGTATGCCCTCCTTATTACGCGAGGTCTCCAAGCGGGATTGTATAGTTTGATCGTCCCACAAGCTGATCAAGCAGCGGATCTCCTCTTGGGTCCAGACCCTCCCCTGGCCTTCTGCCATCCCCCCAGACATAAAGGATGATGAAAATTTGAGAAATACATGATATAAAATGGCGAAAATAGACACGATCGAATATGGCGCGAATCTACCAGAAAATGGACGCGCGCGGGCTTATTAGCATGTGATTAGCATATGACACCTGACCTGGTTTACCGTTTCAAGAAACCCTTTGACTTTAGACCTAGCAAAAAGCGTTTCGGGCCCCCCGCTGAAGGGTTCTGAAACGGTCGAAAACCACGATGGAGGTGGTTTTCGGAAACGGTCTGCGAAAACCCATAACAAACCATTTTTTCCTCTTTAGACCGGGAACGGTTAACCGTTCCGAAACGTTTCCCTGGCCAAAACCCCTTAAGCGTTTCTAGTCTAAATCGGGCCTTAGGTGCACAGAAAATTTTTGGGTGCACCATTATTATATGGCACATAAAACAAAACTTAATAACAGATCTTATTGAGCTTGAATCTAAAATGGGAGCTAACTTCAAAATCTTAAACATGTACTAATGTACAACAAAACTTAATAACAGATCTTATTGAGCTTGAATCTAAAATGGGAGCTAACTTCAAAATCTTAAACATGTACCAATGTACAACAAATTAAGGTTTTATTATTTTTCTGACACTTAGATGCCAAGAATATCCTGTATACTATATGCATTTAATATGTACAAAAATACCTACAAAGATATTTAGATGCACCAGTGCACCCACAGAAAAAAAAATTAGGTGCACAGCTCCAAATTTTTGTGCACTTAGGTGCAGATGCACCCAGTATTTCAAGCCCTGAATTCCATTGGGGAGAAAAGCCTTTGATACTTGTGGACCACAGAACAGTTCATACTAATGATAATAGTGCTGACCCATAAAAACAATAATAACTTGTTCTTGTGAACCCAAACTAACCTTATCTGTTGCCAAAATTATTTTGAAAACATCAACATATCCCCCCATAAAAATTATCATAATCTGCATGATGCTGTATCCAGTCCAATAACACATTTACCATAATTATAAGCAAGTTGTTATCAATTTGTATATGAAAATGCTTCTGACGTTTAAACATATATTTATAGGTACTGATCCAAACATCATAACACTACAGACTACAGTGCAACTAGCTGTAACTCTAACAGTCTACAGGGACAAAAATTATAACTTAGGTAATGTGAATAAAGTATTGTAGCCAGCACTGCAAGTTTACATTATACTGTTACTACATCACCATTAATTTTGACATCTACACAACAAGATACAACTCAACACTAGTGGAACATCTAAATTGTCCAGTTTTTATAAGAGACTACATCCTACCATATTACCACAGGCTAGCTGTTGTTCAGTTCTTACACATGCCTCTGACGTAAATCTTACACATACAAACTGATAAATATCTTCTTCTTTTGTCATCCTCAACTGAGGCTGTGTTGGGTTATTTGACAAGCAGAAATTTGACGCCAGAAGTTACTCATACAAGAGGACACCAGCTTAACGTCAGAGTCCCCATCTGAAATTGTTCCAATTTCCAAAAGCTTCTTCGTTTTGTGACTTCAGAAACAGGAAGACTTGAGAGCCAAGTCAAGTTTGTCAGAAATTTTAGATTGCAACCAAGGGTAGGATGCTCACAATTCTGTGATCTTGGGAGAATACACACATCTCTGATTGTCAGTAGACAAAATTTTTAACGCAAATCCTCTTGGTCCATCAAACAGGAGCAGCCACTTGAAACCCTACATGGAAGTTTTTAGTCAGGTCGCCCACTGTGCAACAACAGCTGAAGAATTGCTTCCTACCCTAATCCTCCTCCATTATCACTGGTCCCAGGGACAAAGTGTCCCCTACACGACCTCCCCTCAAGGTCAAATATTTCCACTATAATAGTATAAACTGTATTTCAAAACAACATACCCTTAAGAAGTAAAGGTGCTGAATGTTATTTAAGTTAGAAAACTCAAATATCTGTATCAATACAGGGCTTTCCCAAACCAATATTTCAGCATCGTAGTGTAGTAGTACCTTGCCAGTTGTCCAGTTCAGGTAATTTTGCTCAAATTCATCTTCGCAAATGTTTGTGGCCAAGTTTTCTCCTCCCCAGACTTTCAGCATCACTTACTGACTTAGCTACGAATTATTGGCAAACATTCGAGTGAACCTGTGGCTTTTTAGTCACTTGTTTCACATTAAAATACAGAAACCCTCATACATTGACTACAGTTTACCACTGTGACTGTTGGCTGCTTTATGAGTTACAGATGATTGGCCAAAACTTGTTTCAGTGCAGGTACAGGTCCAGTGTAACCCTAACCTGAACTTGTACCTAAAATTTGTTTACGTACACAGCACTAAGCCTGGGGCATTCGTGGTTTTTTGTTATTCTGTCACGACTACGAGACAATAAATACTTGTATTTTATCCATAGATACTCTCTAAAAGTACATCAAGAACAGAGCAGCATCTAATTCTATATAACATTTGGCCATGTCAGGTTCAATAATAAAACCCAGAACTTCATACGCAGCTAGGTAAATCTTAGGTGAAATGAAAAAGAAAGGTTACACAATTCAAATGAGGTTCCTTTGAACTAGGATGTTAGCAAAATACCCCACTATTCACTGCACAGTAAGGGAGGAAGGGTGCAAATATAATACAGGTTGGTTTAGCTTTAAGGGGTGCTGCATATACTGCACCTGCTATAGATGGTAGATAACCCCACCTTTGCACATACCCCCCCCCCAGGCAATTTCACCTGTCCCATATCTAACTTGTTTACTTTCTTGACCATCAAAACTAAGAATCTAACTTAAACCACGTGCAACAAAACTGAGCAAGTTTTTTAGCTGTTTTGTTTTCCATTGCAAGGAGTTTGCATCAAAACACAAAGGATCTTGCTGTAACAAAGAAATTTTCTAATTGGTAAATTTTTGTTTGGACTAACTACAACATTCACGCTTTAGGTAATACGACTAAATTTATTTCCCCCAAAGTCTTTAAGATGTAAGAAAATTAAAGATGCCCAAGAAACCTGATACTTTGCCCAGGTTGGACAGAAGGACTGTCCTAAAATACATCACACAATAGTGCTGACTTCAGGTCATGTGACCAGAATGGCTGTCTCTGATTGGCCAGGCTCATTGTGACATGTCATCTGATGTAGTCTTAATCATTCTATTTTGCTGTTGCAGGTTGTAGATAAAAGAAAAGACAGAATGGAGGAGTTTGGTTCAACTTATTACCTCCGGGGAAGGAGATATCCTTCCGCGAGGAGGTTTTACTATTGTTCGAAACATTTCTGTCAGCAGCTGTTTCTCGCGATCGGCTGGACGGATTGGTCTGTTGTTCGGTATACGTATTGCTATTGGGCTGCAGATGATGCAGAACGTTTTTGTTTAATTGCATATGTGTTTATGGGCGTCGAAATAAAAGGTTTTTAAGTGCTCCGGACACCCCCGCCATGCTGAAAATGGAATTTACCATGTTGTTAAGGAATGGGGAGGTTGCAGTTTTGGGTCTTAGCATTCAAAAGGGGTCAAACAGAGGGGTGTCTGGTTCCGATAAAAAATTTTGGGTGACGGCGTAGCAATGACGGCGCGGGATGACGGCGGGGGTAATGGCGCGGGTGACGGTGCAGGCATGGTGGTAAGGAAATAACCATGGTGCAGGCTGTCAGACACGTTAATCAACAGTCCATACCGAACCAACCGTCAGTAGCCATCAAACACATACAAACATATTACGCAACTTCCATACTACACACAAACAAATAACCTAAACCAATAGAACACAAAAAACCCGGAGGTTTGAAATCTACGATTTCCCTTGTTTACGTTTAAGTAATATTCCAGCAGAGAAAAGTGATGTCTGCGAGGGCACCTGCTACTGAGGAATAACAGTCTTACTCAGAAAATAAAATATTCCCACATACTTGTTTTTCACTCAATAATGTTATCCTTGCTTGAAGTTCGTGTAGTCTTTTCTGCAACTCTGCATTCTGAGCAGAAGGAAAGAAATAAAAAGGATGTCAACAACCCGGAGAAAAGCGTGTGTCGCAGCGGATTGATTGATGCGAACGAATTGAAAGGTCATACAGAACTTTGCCCACATCAGCGCACACACCAGCCGCTATCTCATCAACCTTCCGCCGAAATATCCTACAAATCCGCACAAAACTCGCACGTACCTGTGGATCTTTCTTCATCTGGCTCACCAGCACCTACAAATAAATAAACATCGCCGAATTAGACTCCGAACACAAAAGTTGTCAGCTCGGCCGAAATTATGCCCATCGATTGTGGACAACTGGTGCACGGTCGCTGCAGTTCTACATAATCAATGAAGGGTAATTTTACATTCAGCCCAAATATCTCCTCGCAAACTCGTCCTACACGACTCCACATGGTCCCAAACTTTACACAGACACACGCAGGAATACCACATCAGCCCACACGACTACCGGGCCGACAAATGTCCCGAAACAGTCCCCACAGAAGGGGGAATATTTTTTCGGAATAATGCACTACATTATTATCCGACGGAGGAGATTTGGTAGAGGGAACAGGGAGCAACATACTACCTGATGACTTTGGATTTCGACTTTCAGCTGCTCCTGAAGACTGCTCAGGTCCATACCGCCGCTCCCGCCAACTTCTCACAACTTTCTGTCAATTTGGGAAGATTTCGGGATTTCTACAACGCCACAAAAATTGAGAATTGACTCCCCAAATGTTGGAACTGAGGAGTACTTGTTTTGTACTTCTGCACGCACGGACTCATCACACCCTGCGCGCTCCCCAAAACTTTGCACCTAATATCTCAATCCTGCACTATTCCCGCCCAAATCCCGATCAGCTGTCGGCTCTGACTTTACAGCAGAATTTTATTACGCCGGCAGAAAAATCCTGCGCCCAGAAAATAGCGTTTTGCGCCACTATTTGGCGGATTATTTCGCATTGATTTTGGCGTATTATTACCACTTTGCCTAGGGAAAGTGAGTGATCCGGCAGCATTGCCTAGGAAAAGTTCCCGGATGTTGACCCGTTTCTTCCCCGATCGGCACTACTTTCTTCCGCGGGACGACAGAAAAGTTTCGTAGAAATCCCCCCTCACAAAATAATCCACCTCAATAGCGATAAGTATGTCCACAGAGTCGTACTGCACGCTGCTGCCCGTATTTTGGCGGTGTTGGTGAGGAGGGGGGCGAGAATAAAAAGTTGTGCCGTGCTCCGCGCAGTTGTGCGGAAGTGCAGCAGGAAAAAGAACGTGATTTTCAAAATGGCGGCGGGCAGGTAGGCGGGCCGGCTGTGTCATCCCTTTGTACGGTACAGACGGCGTTTTCCCGCGGGTATTTCTGCACGGCTGTGTCCAGGTGGGTAGTTCGTGGTCCCCCCGTCTCGCCCCTGCCGTGTGGCGCCCGGGAGAGACCGGAGCGGCCCGGGCAGGCGGCGGGACGGGTGACGGGCCGGCCGGCGCCGCATGGTGTAACGGCCTGCAGGTGCCCCGCGTGGTCGTCTGCGGGAACCTTACGTCAGAAATCTGCTGTTTCCGTAGCTTATACTCGGTACCCTTTCAACTGAGTTTAGCCTGGGTATTCTTGCACCCACACGTAATTTATCAGACAAAAATACGCCATAATTCAAGCACTATTTCATCCTTTGACGTTCAAAAATCGTGCAGTACACATGTATTTTGTTTGTTTATTCATTTTTCAAAATAAGTAAGTAATCCGCACAGTAATTTATGACAAACTGCTTAGAGGAGTCCTTTCAAAAATGTGCAAAATGCAAGACATAGACATCAAAATGTCGACAGTGGTACTTGCTATTTGCATTTCTGTTCATTTGTGGATATATAGATATATCATAGATATAATGATATAAAAAATAATAAATATAAAGAATATCCTTCCAAACCGTAGATATCATTTCATTGTGATATTTAAAAAATTGTAAGACTAACTTGGTAAAGAAAAAAACAGGTTGCCATGTTTGATCCAGGTAAAATACATGAAAGACATTGATAATCTTGATTGCATGTTCAATGCAAAGATGACCACATCTATATCTACATACACCATTCAAAACACTAAAATCTACCATTGCAAGAGCTATATTTCTGATTGCTTCTTCTCTCTTTTAATACAGTAAAGTCAGTAACACCCATGTACTTACGTTGTCCGTATTTCTCCAGATTTCCTCAGTACGACCCCTGACCTGCTGTTGCCATGGCAGCGAAGCGCACGGCGACCACGGAACTCACGGACAGGAACTGGGACCAGGAGGACGAACCCGAGGAGGTCAGGGGTCAACTGTGTTGTTTTCCGTAACGATTCCGTCTGTTTTATTGTGTGAAGTATCGGGTTACATAATATAATTCTGCAGGTGTGCAACAGGTGTATAAACATGCCTCATTCAGTCATTCATTCATCCATTTGTTAATTCATTCTATATTCATCCATTCGTTGAGTCATTCATTCATTCATTCACCCATTCATTCATCCATTTGTTATTTCATCTATATTCATCCAATCGTTGAGTCATTCATTCTCTCATTTATCCATTCATTCATCCATTCATTCATCCATTCATTCATCCATTCATTCATTCATTCATTCATTCATTCATTTCTTAATTCATCTATATTCATAAATTCAGTCAGTCATTCATCTGTTTTTTCATCAATTCATTCTTTCATTCATTCAAGCCTTTAATTCATCTATATTCATCCATTCATTCAATCCTTTGTTAATTTATCACTCAGTCATTTGTTCATCAGTTTATTCATTCATTTACCTATTTGTTGATTTATCTACATGTATAGTCATTCATTCATTAACTCATTAATCTGTTCATCAATGGCATTCATTCATTCATTCATTCATTCCCACAAGTACACATAAGATACTTCACATGCTGCTCTAGGTCATACATTGTTTGATTGTTGCTTTTTCCCTCATCGCTTTAATGCAGCACGCAAACCACCACCCCCTGTGTGTGTGCCAAGTCTGAATGGTGACGAGCGTTGTTTCATCTTTTTGGACACTTCTCAAGTTCAAAGGAGGTTTTTAAACCTCCTTGGCGAGTTCTTTTGCTCTCAGTCTGTTGGTGTGGTGGGTGTTTGTCACAAACTGGTGTAGCTGCTCATTTTTCTAGCTTGAACAGAGTTAATGTTGTTAGAATCTGTACCGGTTAGAAAATACTCTAAGATACTGGAATTTGTTCACTAAAATACTGAAAAACGAAGGACAAAAATTCTCCAAAAGTCCAAGATCTGTCCGTTACAGCCGTTTACCTAATGCCTGTTTGTAACAACAGTGTATTTCCCTGTGTGTCGCTCCAGGCAGGCACCTGGAACCCGGCCAGCCGTGACCAGATGGCCAAGAGAAGGTAAATAACTCGCTCTGTTAATCAGTCAATCAAGTACTTATTAAATATGGCAACATCAGAGGCACATACATTACTGTAAACTATTAATACTAAACTGTGATCTTTGACTGTCTCTGGTAGCTAGTTTATGTAATAGGAATCCATCTTATGATCTATCCACCTTTCTTTGGCTGTTACAAATACAACAGACCGTTTCTGTCTACTTTTCAGAGTCAGGAAGGCCATAAGAAGAGGCAATGCAGGCTCCTCAGAGGTGAGCAGAAATAACCAGCTATTGTTAGATTTTCATCTACAGCTAGGGCCTTATTAATTAGATTTTGACCTTTAGCTAATATTAGATTTTCATCCACAAAATTTTTAAAGCATGTTCTTTACATGGCAAATGCCTTGTTCGGTATTGCACTAGGTTTTTTCTTTTTCTTGATCCCTGTCTATAGTTTCCTTATAATTTCTCTTCCAAACATCATTGTATTTGTGTGGCTGACTGTGCCCAGACTACCCTGAGTTTGACCTCTCCCATGTCCGCTCCCCCAGGGTGGCACCGGAGCCTTCTCCACATTCAGCGGCCTGACCAGCAAACCTGCATCTGCCGTCTTCAGTCTGACCTCAGGCGCCCCCAAACCTCTCACCGTATCCAACGGCAACAAGACCACGCCCTCCGTCCCCTTCAGCGGCTTCGGCACGGCCACCCCCACCCCTGGCGTTAGTGATCCCTCCCCTGCCGGCGGCCCCACCTCCCCCAAGTACAGTCCCCAGTACTGCTCCCAGCTGCAGAATCTGAACCGCAGCCTGCTGCAGTGGCTGCAGAAACACGTCGACAGTAACCCGATCTGCGACCTCACCCCATCCTTCAGGGACTACGAGAAACACCTGCGCGACATCGAGGCCAGGTTTCCCCCGGCGACGCCCACAGATACGGTTACCCCGGCAACAGACAAGACGTCGTCACAGAGTGGGAACGGACAGCTGTCATTCAAATTCTCCTCCTCACCTCAAAACAAAACAGACACTTCTACAGTCACCACCACAGATTCATCAGCTCCTGGTGGGGTCACGATAGGTCAGAGTTCAACCCCAGCCGGGGTCACGATAGGTCAGAGTTCGTCGCCAGCGGGGATTACGATAGGTCAGAGTTCGTCGTTCCTGACGGGCACGAGCACAGCGCCCTCGCCGTTCTCCTTCAGTGCGAGCAGTGGCGGGGCGAAGTTCGGCGGCTCCGGCGCGACGCTCGACTCCGGGTTCAAGTTCAACACCACAACCAGCAGCAGCAGCTCGGGTACGGCAGGGTCAGGGTTCAAGTTCAGCTTCGCCTCCAAACCTTCTGCCCCAACTACAGGTGGGTCTGCTTATATATATAGTACAAGTCAGTGTTTCAGGTACCAGCAGTGTACTGATAAAGAGTTTGACAAGTTTTCAAAAATCCATTTCCACTTGCCTGAACCAACTTTTCACTTGTGCCAAATATACAATGTAAATGGCATTTTTTATATGGATTTTTACTACCAGCAAGGTAATTATTTTATTACATATTACCTGTAGAGGTACACAGGTTTTTATACTAGTAACAGTAGTTCAGGTCTTGAAATCCTTTTTTCTGCATACCAGCACCGGTGCAGGTAATATAGAAAACTATCTGTGCCAAACAAATTTCTACTTACTGGGACCTACAACAAGTCTGTGTTTCAGACAGGTACCAGCAGTGTACTGGTACAGAGAAACCTGTAGTGGTACACAGTACTAATAGTAGTTCAGGGCTTGAAATCTTTTTTTCTGCATACCAGTACCAGTGCCAGTAACATAGAAAACTACCTGTGCCAGACAAACTTTACCTAAGTAGCAGCACCATCAGATCTGGGTCTTGAAAACTAAATGAGCAAACAAATGAAAGTTTCTTTTCTTTGTTCCAGAGTCGTCAGACACGAAAGAGGAGGAGGAATACGAACCGCCCAAACCGGAGGTCAAAGAGGTGAAGGAGGACGGAGCTTTTTATACCGTCAGGTGAGAAGGTCGTTGGAAGGTCACTGGCCACACTGAAAGACATTTTCGATATTTCTGAGTTCTTCTTCCCAGAGCTACAGCTCATGTGTTCTTGTTCCCAGAGTTATAGTTCTTGTTGTTGTTCCCAGAGCTTATGTGATGTTGTTCCCAGGATCACGTTGGCAGAACGTACTGCGCCTGCGCAAAAGCCCCATTTTTCACGGTTTTTGTAGAATTGTTGGTCAACGTTGCATCAGAATTTTGCCTATTGCAGAAGATATCTTTTCCAACACAACATTTGAAAACTAAAGACGGGATGCCAACTTAATATACGGTAGTACAACCTTACATGAGACGTTCTGCCGAAGTGCTATGCACAATACATTATAGGTTTTGTGCAGGTGCAGTATGTCCTGCCCACATGCTCTCCCAGAGTCGTTAATGAATGTGTTCTTGTTCCCAGGTGTAAGCTGTTTTACCAGAAGGACGGGGCGTACAAGGACAAGGGGGTGGGCAACCTGCACCTGAAGAAAACCGGAGAGGACAAGACACAGCTGGTGGTCAGGGCAGACACTAGTCTAGGTGGGTATAACAAGGCTTGAACAGTCTGTGTGCTGGGGTGTATGTGTTGTTGTTTTTTTATTCCCTGCATTGACTGTTGAAAGATGAAAGGAATCTTCGCAATAGTTTCTGGTTTATGACAGAGAAGACAGACGCTGTGTACAGTATTTACAGGTTCACTCTACCAGGAAAAATTCACTTACAAGTTAATACAACTCCAGTCTTTGTCAAGGAATGAGCAATCAAAATTAGTACAGTCTAAAATTTGGGTGAGTCCAATTTTTGGCATTGGCAATTACAGTTCAATCTTGTGTCACATTGTACTTTTCTTTAGAAATGAAACGCAATTAGTTTTTGCTGACATTCTACTTATTTTATCTTACATGGTGCACCCAAAAAACTTTTGTTCACCCAAGAATTGGGTGCACCAGTGCACCTATTCACAAAAATGAATTTCAAACCCTGCAGTGACACATGTGAATTCCTTCTCAGGGTTGGACAAGTTTTCAAAAATCCACTTACCCTATTGGGCAAGCACATAGTCATTTCTACTTGCCCGAACCAACTTTTCCGTTGCCCAATGTAAAATACCAATGACGTACATTTCTACCACAAGGAAATTTTTTCAGTAAAAAAAGCATGCTATATTGCTCTATGCTTGACCAACATTTCCCAAAGTAAGGAGGTTTGAGACTTACAAATGGTTCTCTGACAAAAAGTCATATTATGTGAATACATTATGCAAAAATGATGAGAGATTTTGCTCCAAACACTGGGGCATAATGCCACATCCCAAAAATTTACTTGCCCAATTGGGCAAGTACAGGGGGATATTCACTTGTACAAACAGTACTTTTACTTGCCCTGGGCAAGTGGGCAATGGGACTTGTCCAACCCTGCTTCTTTTTCCCTCCTGTTCAGGAAACATCCTGTTGAACATCCTGCTGTTTCCCAGCATGCCCGTGAGTCGGCAGGGGAAGAACAACGTGGCGCTGGTTTGCGTGCCGAACCCGCCGCTCGACGAGAAGGCCGAGCCCAAACCCACCCCCATGCTCATCAGGGTCAAGACGGGAGACGCAGCAGACGAACTGTGTAAACAGCTGGACGATAACAAGGGCACTGCGTAACACACATACACACACACACACACACTAACACACATACACTAACCATCCATCTACACACACAGTCACATACGACAAGGCTGAGCCCAAACCCACCCCCATGCTCATCCATGTCAAGACTGGAGATGCCGCGGACCAACTGTGTAAACAGCTGACGGATAACATGGGCACTGCGTAACACACAGACACACACCTAACCACACATCTAACCACACACACACACATACGTCTTACCATCCATCCACACGCACATATTAGCTTTGCAAAGAGCTGTCTGATAATAAGTGCAGCACATACGTTTGTTGTAACACACACACTGCACACACACTCACATCTAACCATCCATCCACACACATGTACACACACACACATGTACACACAAACTCACACAGACACACACACATGTGCACTGAACACTGCATGATCATTAGATCAGACCTGTTCTTACTTTGGAGACAAAAAAATGTCCATGATAATTTAGTGCAAGGAAGTGTAAGATACTGACTTTGGGTAACCATTCTAGTTATAGTGTGAAACACAACATTAGTCAGCTTCTGCTTCTCCAAACATTTCCTTGTAAAGGACTGTCCAAAATTTTGTACTTTGCCGAATGAAGACCCTAACGTTACTTCTGAGCTGCTATTGTAGTTCTTGCTGTAGATATCAGAATGCTTGTCTCATTGGTTAAACAACTTTATATTTAGAATTCTAAATCAATGAACTGACTTGTACATTGTAAGCCATCACTTCTTGCAATAGTAGGAATATTACCACACCTGTTTCCATGGTGATTTCCATAGCAACAGCCAATAGGACATGCTGGTGTAGATGACATGATGTAGCCACAGTATCCTGTCTCTAACCTGTAGAGTCACTAAGGTTAAACTCCTGCAACTGTTGCTTGAATGTGTGTTTTGTCAAAACTGTAGATTTTTCTAAGGGGCAGATGATTTTTCTGTAACTAACACTGAATGGCCCTAGTAAGGAATTCTTTTGTTCAAGTGTCTGTCAGAGACTTTGTTTTCTTATTTTACTTGTAAGACCCAGAGAATCTGTACAGTGAAGGTAGACAGTTCTTGAGAGCTGAAATCTGAGGTTTACTCCAAAATGATCACCATGTCTCTGATAGACTTTTTTACTGACCTTGTAAGGCCCAGAGAATATGCACAGTGAAGGTTCTTGACAGCTGAAATTTGAGGTTTACTCCTTACTGATCACCATGTGACTCATACTTTCTTTATGTTCTCTGTTATGTTGATGCTGAATTATATCAGCTTTTAGCAATAACGGAAATAAACAGGGCTTCAACCAAACCAATTGCCAGGCTGGTGTGTTCAGTAGAAATACCATAACTAATACCATATGCGATGGTATATGCTCATGAAAATGTACCCAACACTTGTACGGTTATGTTACATGTTGTAGTACTTGTCTTGGACTTTTGGACCAAATGTGTGCCCTTAGAGGGTTAAACAGGCTTTATGAACTGAGCAAAGTTCAGTGGGGACTGACTGGTGTACAAACTGTGAACATGCCTCCGGATTATAAATCCGGTGAGGTACACTTGATAAAGTTACTCCAGTATGTCCTATCCCTCATAGCAGACACTAATGCAGGCCCTGCGAGACCAGCATCTCTTTCTAGCATGGACAAAAGTGTAGTATGAGGACGTCCCACTCTACGTAGCGTAGAGTGGACAGTTTGATCCACCCAATTCCACACACCTGGTCACCTGCATATGTCCAATGGCACTTCACACTTGTAGGGTTAAATTTACTCCATATAACATCAGGAATGCTCACATGACTGCATAGTACATGTATGAGCCCCATGTTGTAGAGGGTAAGTCTGGAATCTTTTTTAGAGGTTAACACATTAAAGACAACAAATTCTCTTCTCATGGTTGTATTTTGTTACTAGCCACGTGGGAGACATGTAGAGCGGTGAGATATAGTAATGCAGTAGCTTCACTCCTGTACAAGCTGCACAGAATGTAGAGAGGGCCTATTATCTGCATTCACACAGCTATCCCATAAGTGGATCAGACATAGCCTCTACCAGGCTTCTGGAAAGAGTAGAAACTGGCCAAATAGATAACATGCCGAGGGAGTAGGTCTGCTAGACAGCACAGTAACTACAGTTTGCCGCACCCTGGTATGTTATCTCTCTATTTGGCCAAATTCTATTGTTTCCAGCCGCCTCCCGAAGTCAGAAGACGGTAGATCAGACAGCCATAGCTAGGAGGTCTTGTTCAACAGTTCACCAACATGTACTAGCCTCCTGCCTGCGTTTGTTACAATGAGCGCTGGGTTTGTGTTCTGGTACAGCATGGATACAGCTACCTCCCAGCGAAAACATACCACTACGATCATCATAGAAACAAAGTAGGTCACTAGAAAAATCTGCGCAGGAGGCTACATCTATGTTGTAAGGCACAGTTTCATCAGTGTACAAAATCAAGTCATATTGCAGCTTCATTTTCATAATGTAACATTAATAATGTTGTACTGCGGAATCAACTTGTGATTCAAATGCAACATTGTAGAATTACGCAACCTGGCACATTGCAACTTTGAAGGATTTTGCAACATGGCACAACTTTGTAGAAAGTTTGCAACATGGCACAAGAATTCAGCATTCTTACTGCAGAGCATTTTTGTAAACGTTCAAAAACTGCATGACGACAGTAACACTTTCCCAAACTTTGCTGGTACAGAAAATGCACCAATTACTTGGTTCCTATTACATTTAAAAGCAGAATAGTTCCATGGCTCAGCCCTGGGTTTGTAAATTCTCAGGATATTGCAACAATCATTTTTACCTGTGGCTTTTCCTCTACCCCTGCATGTTTATTTGCTTCTGTTATACTTATGTTTTGCAAATTTTGCTTTTACTTTGTATGTGCAATAAATAAAACAACAATAAAAACAACAATACATTGTCTGAAGTAATGGTTAAGCTGCACAGGTATAACTATATAAGCACAGTTTCAATGTACACAGAGTTTCGGTTATATCAGCTTGGCACTCATACTGATAACTTGGCACATATACCTATTTTAAAATACAATATTTAGAGGAAAACTTGACAAATTCTAGAAATTTACAAAACTTCAATTTGCTCCCATGATAACATGAGAAACCAGCCTGTCAGGCCCAATAAAATATTCCGCTGGCCAACTTTTTCACCACAAGTTCAGCTCAATTTCAGCCTTACATTATAGTCATACAAACTACTATGTACGTTACTTCGTAGAACTTTTCCTTTAGGAACTAATATGGTAAAATCTTGTCATAATTGAGTTGGTTAAAACGGACAGTCCTTCCCTTATATCTAACATACCAACCATCTTTCTGAACTGCATATTGCCATTTTCCCTTTGGTAACACTTGTTTCACTACTGCACAGAATTAAACACTTATCCATCAATATACATGACATTGTACATGTCTCTCTCTCTATGACTTACTGCACATAGTTCTGCATCAGTCCCTATCAATATACTATATTGGTCAGAGTTTGACACTGTATCAGTTCTTTAACATCTACTATACCGCTATTAGTTTCAACACAGTGCTAAATTTAGTTCCTGTACGGTACATGTACTAGTACTCTACTGAACAGAGTTAAACACTATATGTAAATGTAATCTATACAAAATTATGACACTTCTCCTATTGTATACTAGTAATATGGCCTCTGCTAGTCAATATTGACTAAATCAAGGAAAATAGAAGCACCTTGGTGTAATTTTTCTACATAATCTTGTACTGCACACTTGATGATGTACTCCAAAGAGTAACATGAACAGTTCCCCTGGTTTCTTTGAGATAAACACATAAGAGGGCTCTTCTCTCAGACCTTTAAAGAATAAGAGGGCTCCTTCCGCACACCTTAAGTAATAAGTGGGCTTGTCTCGCTGAGTTCCTCCCACTTGAGGCGAATGACTGCGTCCATCTCCGTTAGCTGGAAGTCTGGGATGAAGGTGAAGAAATAAAACAGGAAGGCGATGGCCATGATCCACTCACTGATGGTGCTGGCCACGTGGGGGGCATAGCCCTGCAGGGGGGTC